AAAGTATAAATCCTGAGCTCTCTCCGGGCATATGTTCTGTTTGCTCAATCTGTAAACACGTAATTATTGAACTTGCCTTCTAAAGTAACACCACACCCTAGATATGATGCAAAACCCAGCATTACAAGATAAGCTCTGTCTCAAGTTTCTGCTCATTATAGTGCCTGAAGTATTTGCTCATATGCTCAGGGACTAAAGCAGAAGTAAACAGTCAAGCCAGTATTATAGGGACACCTGTGTTACAAAATCCACTTTCTTGCATTGTGAAAGCAATGAATGAAGTTCGGCAGGACTCCTGTAAGAATGCCAAGTGGTCCCACATCCATCACATTGGTCAAACAGGACTCCGACCTTCTCGCTTCCCTCCCTAACCCACCCAGGCCAGTCTACTTTCCTCAAATATCAGATCTCAGCTCCAAGCCGTGGTTCTCAGCTGCCACACCTCACCTCCTGCCTGTCTTCTGTCCCGCCCTCATGCAGTTAAGTTAGCCTCGCCTGCTGTCCATTTGCACAGCTCTCAGATCTCCAAAAGGGTCTTTGCACAGGGCATTTAACATGCCTGGACAAATGACTCTTTTTATCTTTAAAACCCTACAAAGTTACTTCTTTTGTGAACTCTTCCTAATTAGACAGAACAGAATGTCCTGGCTAAGAGGCTGTGGCACAACCTTGCATTGTGGTTAGGTATGAGTTTTGATATCCTCCTCTCCCCACCAAGATGCCATATAGCTAAGTGATTAACAGCAAGAATTTGAAAGCCAGATGGTCAGGGTTTGATTCCTGGGTACACCACACACTAACTATGCTTCAGTTTCCTTACCTGTAATACAGTATTTCCCATGTATAAGATGCTCCCTTAATTTTGGGGCCCGAAATTTGAAAAAAAAATGTATTACATAAAGTTATTGAACTCAACTTTTATTCATCATAAAATTCATACAACTCCTCATCACTGTCAAAACTCCCAACCATTAGTTTGTTCTCATCTGTGTCTGATGACGAATCACTGTCTTCATATATTGCCTCTCATGGCCTTCTTCTGCCGTGGCATTTTCAGTAGCATTTCTTCTTCCCATAGCCAGTCTCGGATTGTTTTCTCAGCCAGAGGAGGATCAAACTTACGTTGTTCAGCAGCACGATTTCCATTCCGTTTTGCAAACTGGATCACTTTTAACTTAAATTCAGCACTGTACGAAAATCTTTTCTGAGCCATTTCTGGGCAGAACGTGGCAAAACGTAACCTACCATAATATACCGGTAACAAGTGCGAAACACTGAGCGCAAAGACAACAAGCGCGAAAAAGCGGGAAATGCAAGTAAAAAGATCTATAACAGGGCCAGCCAAAGTGGCGTGTTGGTTAAGCGCTGGCTTGGGATGCCAGAGGGCCCCGGTTTGGATCCCACATATGAGGGCCAGTGACACTGCCCTCTACATCTAAGATGCTGAACAGCTCAACCTGGAGCTCGGCTGCCGTGAGTCGCCCACAAAGGCATAGGCTGCAGCCCCTGTGGCAGTGGGTTGCCATGGGCTACCGTGTGTAGCCAGCAGCCAGCGTGAGCGGCCAGCAGCTGCAGTGAGCAGCCATCCAGAAGCCGGCGACTAATCTGCCTCACCTGGGAAGAGCGCAATGATGGTGCCAACTTGGGCCAGTGAAGCAATGTCCTTCTCAACTAGACTGAAGAACAAAACGACAGCAACTTGTCTGTTCCCCTTCCCCCAATTCCCTAGCGCTGTTCCCATCCCCCAATAAAAAATCTTAAAAAAAAAAAAAACTACAACAATGAGCTCAAAAACAAGTGCGAAAATAGTGGGAAATGCAAGTAAAAAAATCTACAACCACTGTATAAGACACCCAGTTTTTAGACCCCAAATTTTTCGGAAAAGGGTGTGTCTTATACATGGGGAAATACTGTAGATGTTAGATAGATAGATAGATAGATAGATAGATAATCAAAGAGCTTGAATAGTGCCTGGTGTGCCATGAATGCTACATAATTACACACATAATAAAGGTGATAATAAGTGGCAGTTCCTATCTGCCTCGGTATTCAGGTGACAACAGAGAGTGACAGGGGCTGCCTCTGCAATGAACTGTTGAGGGAATGCCTGAAATTGCTGCAGCTGCATAGGCCAGTTGTCCCAGTGGAGGAACCTGGCCTGGTGTGACCAGCTGTGCACAATTTCCGGAGAAGGCAAATCCACATCTCTGGATGCTTAATTACTGGTTTACACTTAAAAAATTAATGTTTGAGCCAAAGAAAGCATGTCTAGAGGCAGTTTTATCCCTAAGTCACTATTTTATGATCGCTGACATTTATGAATCTATAATGGTGTGTGTGTGCTTCCATTTTTCTGTGTTTATTTTCTCTACTTTTTCCTCAATTGAATATCCTAGGAGCAGTAGAAAGCATGAAGATGGTACCCAGTTAAGACCAGCTGACCAGTGAAGGTTTGTTAATCAACAGACACCAGTGGAGCTTTTCTGAAGGAAACAATGAGTAACTTAGTGTCACCCCCCATTTCATGCCCTCTGTACTTGTCTTCAGTTCAGGTCAACAAACCAGGCCCTGAAGACACAAACATGAACAAGATGTAGCTCCTGACCTTGAGGAATGTAAAGGCTTGAGGGGGACACAGAAATATAAACAGCATTACAGCTGTAATTACGAAACACATCGACATGTATTATCACATGATTTTATATCCAATGTATAGAAGAGAAATTGAGACACAGAGCGGTAAAGTGCCTTGTCCAAGATCACTCCACTAGGAAGTGGAGTTGGAACAGGAACTCAGTTCTGCTGACTCCAAACCCAGGCTCTTTCTGTGGCAAACTCATGTTCTAGCATAACATGCATATTTTCCAGTATCTGTGATACTGGAATCATGCTCATTAAAAGGGTTGATATCCAGTGAGTTAGAATGAGGCATTGATAGAATCGTGGAATTCGGGCTTTGAAAAGCACCGTGACTGGTTAGGGAAATATTTTTCTTCTAATTATAATTTTCCATCTACCAAAGAGAATTTGATACTACTTTCAACAAAGCATAATTTCATATTTTTTTAAAAAGGTTAAAAGAGCAAGGCAATGAAGGGAAGCGGAGATGAAAACCCTGCTTCAGAAAATTGAAGGTAAGAATAGGTAGCACAAATGGGAACAAATCTTAGCTCTGAGCTTCCTGAGAGACAAGGCAAAACCAGGAAGTGACAAAGTTCTTGTTTTTATAAAAGGAGGCATACAGATCCTAAGTTTACCATATATTATCATCATTTGTTCTCTAATATCTGAATCACATAGCAAAAATCAATATTCTTATGGAAAAAAATTGATTTGAAAGTATAACATTTTATAAAAATAAAAGCTGATTTGTTATATTTGTAAAGTCTGTAGTTGACTTGGTAATTTATAACAACACATTGTGAAAAATAATAAACAGAAACTTCATTTAAAATGAAGTCATGGAGTCCGGGGGGCTAGAAAAGAGAACTCTCACACACAGTCACTCAACGCACACTACTGACCCCAATAGGAAGAGACATACCTTGCATCTCCCACAGGAAGTGATATAGTTTACTAACTCAGCAAGGGAAAGAAAAGATTCTGCCCTGCCCAATAACAGCTCAGCCAATGGAAAGCTGCCATAACTCAGCCAGTAAAGCCACACTTCGAACTTAGTTTCCTCTAATGGACTCTTCATTTACAACAGCCCCTCCCCCATCCATAAAAAGTGTTCCCCAGGCGGCGGAGTGGCGCGTTGGTTAAGAACTGGCTTGGGATGCCAGAGAGCCTAGGTTCGGATCCCACATGTGAGGGCCAGTGACACTGCCCTCTACATCTAAGATGCTGAACAACAGCTCGACCTGGAGCTGGGCTGCCCGTGGGTCGCCAGCAACGGCGTAGGCTGCAGCCCCTGCTGCAGTGGGCTGCCATAAGCTACCTGTGTAGCCGGCAGCCAGCGTGAGCGGCGGTCCAGAAGCCGGCAACTGATCTGCCTCTTCTGGGAACAGCGCAATGATGGTGCCAACTTGGGCCAGTGAAGCAACGTCCTCCACAACTAGACTGAAGAACAAACCAACAGCAACTTGTCTGTTCCCCTTCCCCCAATTCCCCAGCGCTGTTCTCCTCCCCCAATTCCCCAATTAAAAAAAAATATTAAAAAAAAAAAAGTGTTCCCCATCTTTGTTTCCCCTGACTTGTGTGTGGTTCACCATTGGATATGTAGTATGTCCCAAATTACAATTCTTTGGTTTTTTTCCGCAAATAAACCCATTTTGCTGGAGCAATACCTGGCTTTTTGTTAGAGGTCAACACTAACTAGCACATGGTTGACAATATGAATGGTTTGGCATGTTCTATAAAGGAAAATGGGAGAATTAGCACCCAGTTTAGAAGGATTGTGTAGCAGAGTATTGGAACTATAATTTTGAGGAAAGGGTGAGCCAAGAGTTGCCCTCTTCATAAACAGCACACATTTCAAGTTCTTAACTGGGTGAACTATAGCCAAAATGGCACACAGAACACAAGATGATATTCAACAGCTATGAGGATATTTCATCATTCATTCACTCAGTTCAACAAATTGTTACTGAGTGTTCCCAGAGTGCGCATTCATGCACTGGCCTTAGAAATGGAGACAGAGCAGTGAGCAAAACAAATAGCTCTGACTTCACCACAATCTCTTGAGGCAAAGTGCAGTATGTTGCACATATTAAAGATGGATATACACATTCTTTATGAGAGAGCTGGAGTTCTCACAGTGATACTTCAAATAAGTCCTCCCCAAAAAGGCTACAGCCCTGTGTTACTGCAGAGGCAAATGCTTGGCTTTTGCCACAAAACTATCTAGAGCACAGGTGCAGCTAGGAAAGGAAAGGGCAAACACCAATCCTAAGGGCCACTGCACAGGGCTGAAGCCTGGGTCTCACTTTTCTAAGTTCACAACCAACGGATGGAGAGTGAGTGGGCCTACCTCTTGCTGCAGGAGTAGCCAATGAGCACCTCCTTCAGCTTGATGAAATGGTCCTCTTCTGTGCTAGAAGGGCTTTAAGAAGCACCTGGAAGAAGAAGAAGAAACTCTATAGCAGCCATAGAAGCAGCAGCTAGACAAAGTTAAAAATAGATATTAAATAACAGTTTTAAGATCCAGACAGACAATATTTATTAAATCCTCACTACCTATGCAGAAAGACTGTGCTAGGTACTCAGGAAACTGGGTGGGTGGGAGCTACCTCTTGTCTTCCTTTTTCAAAGAGATGACTTTGGGGCTTGAAATGCTAAGGATGCTCTTCCTTCTGGTTTTCAGTCCTGCTGCCTGCAACCCTGGTAAGTCCCATCGCCAACATCCCTACTCTGAGCTCAGACGTAGTTGGGTCTAGAGGAAGAATGAATACTTGGATCGATTACATCTTCAAATATCTTCTAATCTTCAAGTTTATGGTTGTGCTTGTCCCTATTGATACTGAATTAGAATGTACAAGCCTCAAATAGGATCTTGCCAGAGAGGACAGTGTTTAAAATGAAAACGACAGCTTTATTTGAGCGTGTGCTGATCTATATAACAGCTCAGTGTTAGGTATTGAAGCTAATCTAAACTATATAACAACAGAAGGTGTAAAAGCTAAAATTGAAAAATTAAAACTTAGAGTACGCCTTTGGTGAACTTTGACTGGCTATCAAATTATATTAATCAATAATGTCAAATTGGGGGGAAAGCATAAAGATACAAGGAACATTATTTTGGACAAAGCACTGAACTAGATTTTAAAACTTTTTGTTATATAAGTACATGATTATAGTAGATAAAAGTTACAAATTACAGACAAGTGTATAGAATAAGATACAGCCATTTTTAATAACCAAAGCACCTTCCATGGACTGACTATACTGAAATGTATTTAGCCAATTCTCTATTATTGGGCATTTATAAAAAAAGTTTTTTCTAATCTTTATTAGCACAAACTTTTTTTTTATTTTTAAAGATTTTTACTGGAGAATTGGGAGAGGGGAACAGCATTGGGGAATCAGGAAAGTGGAACAGACAAGTTGCTGTCCTTTTGTTCTTCAGTCTAGTTGTGGAGGACGTCGCTTCACTGGCCCATGTTGGTATTATCATTGCGCTCTTCCCGGGTGAGGCGTCTGCTTGTTGGACATTGGACAGCCGCTCATGGCGGCTCACGAAAGCTCACGCCAGCTGCAGGCCAGCCCCACTGCAGCCTACTCCATTGCAGGCGACTCACTGCAGCCCAGCTCCAGGTTGAGCTGTTGTTCAGCATCTTAGCTGTGGAGGGCAGTGTCACTGGCCCTCATATGTGGGATCCGAACCGGGGCCCTCTGGCATCCCAAGCCAGCTCCCAACCAACGCGCCACTCAGCCAGAACGAGAGATTTTTAATCTGGGGTCCCAGAGCCCCAGATATATGATATGAAATTTTCTGTGTGTATTGGATGTGTGTTATTCTCAGGATAAGACCCAAGGAACATTAAGAAACACTGAACTTAAACTCTGCCGCTGGGAGAAGCAGGTGGAAAGAAAGAAGCAGGGCTAGGAGGAGGGATGTAAAAGCAGTGAGGGCAGAGTCCTGTAACTGGTTATGTGCATGTACACACCCACACACTCACTCACTCACACACACACACACACACACACACATGCACGCACACGCACACACATGCACACCTTTTATTACCTTACCCTCGTCTATACAGGCTTTTCCCAAAAGCACTCCCTCATTTCCCTCCCTAGAAGGCCCCCCAACCACATAGGTGCTACTAGATCATCATAGACTGGGCTCACTTCTTACTACTATTTGTATATATAGCACAGAAAATTCTGATAAACAACTCAAGATACTCCTTTCTTTATAGTTTGGTTCATAGAAACATTCAAAAACCTTACACAAACAAGCTGTAACCTGTTTATTTGAAATCACAGAAAAGCCATTAACCTCAATTTTATCTCCTAAATATTTCTCTAACTTATCCATGTCTTCATCTTCACTCCATCACATGTTGCTTTGACCACTGCAGCGCTCTCCTAACTTACTTCCCATGTCCTCTCTGCCATACTCCTTAATCCACTGCCCACACTTTAGCCTGAGCTATCTTTTCATTTCAACATCCCCCAGCTTACAACCCTCTCATGGTTCCCCTTTGCTCTTGGGCTATACAGCCAACCTCTTAACATGGGAGCCCTACAGCCAACCTCTTAACATGGGAGCCCACCTGGAGCTACCCAATCTGCTCTGCCTACCTCCTCTCCACCTCCCTCATCTGTTATACTAAGTCCCTCCTCCCTTACCCTGACTCCAGCCACACCTGGAGCACTCAGCCATTCTCTCTCCCACTCCCTGACCTTTGTCAGCCTTTTTCTTCTGCTTGAATGCTCTTTCTCCCACTCCTCTCTTTCACTGAATTCACTTCCACTCAGCTTAAAAATAACTTCCCTAACCTCCCAGGCCAAGTCATGTGCTATCTCATGCTTTCCTAGCACTCTCCATTTTTTTTTTCTTAGCAGTCATCCCAAATTTGCAATTACATAGCTCATTAACACCTGCATCCACTCTGGCAGGTGAGCTCCATGAAAATAGAAATAGGATAGGTTCTTTTCTTCGAAATCCCAGTGCTCAGAGCAGAGCTGACACACAGCAGGTAATCAATAAATACTGTTAAAGGGAGGGAGAAAAAGATGCTACTATAAATGGTCCCTTGTAGGCCTTTATTTTTCTCTACACTTTCCTTCAAATATGAACTGATACTAATTATGTCCTGGATACAAAAATTTGCTAACTTATTCGGGTCATTCCAATTATTTATCGGGAACCTATTGTGTGTGTACTAGGCACTTTTCCAAGAGTTGGAGGGGGGAGGGGCCACACATTGAAAAAAACAGAACCATCCTCTTCTCCTTGAGCTTACATTCTAGGAGGAGAAGGAAACAGATAGTAAACACAATAAATAAGTACATTATATAGTATATTTAAAAGGTGAAAAGTGCTATGGAGAAAAATAAAGCAGGGTAAGTAGAATGGGATGAGCAAAGAAGAGGCAGTTAGCCCTCATTCATTGTATGTTAAAAAATTAGGTTGGGGAGACTGAAACAGAGCAGGTGTAAGTACTCTCATGGTGTTTATAATAAATTTGAGAAATGCATATACTGCTACACATCAACCACGGTACTGCGTACACCTGTGAGTGAGCTGCATGGAGCAGAGTGGAGGCCAAGTACTTCAACATCTGCCTCAAAAACTTCATCCATTTAAATGCTGTTCTTTTCCTCTGAGCCCTCTCCTCCTCCCTGGCAAAGTTGGTGGATCTTTCTTCCATGTTCCTATGGCTTTTTGGTCATCTCTGTACTGTATCATCTTTCTCCTTGTCCTGTAACAATTTATCTTTGTAGGCATCAGCCCCACTAGAACACAGGAACTCCTCAAGGGCAGGGACCATGTCCCAGCATCCAAAATCTGATCATTCCCAGCAGCTGGTAATATAGAAAATGCTCAAAGTGTTTGCTAAATGAGTGAACATAGGAATGGATTATGAATTGACAGAGAGAATTATAAGTGTAGCTATGGAAATTAGAATGCATCTTATCTTGACAACCTGAGTTCTCCAGAAATTCTCCACATTTGTGTATGATAATCTTCAGCACTTCTGGCTCCCAGGAATATTGGATAAGTCATACTATATCTTTTTATACTCTTTTTGTTTTAACCTATCTGGTCTATATATTTAAAGTGATTTTCTTGTACACAGCATGTAATGGAATTTTACATTTTTATCTAGTCTGACAATCTTTTGAGTTTTAATTGAAGTCTTTAGACCATTTATGTTTCATACAATTATCAATATGATTGAGTTTAAATTTACCATTTACTATTGGTAGTCTTCTTCTTTTCCTACTTCTTTTGAATTGTTACTTAATATTTCATTTTATCTTCACTGTTGATGATATATATATATGTGTGTGTATATATATATCCTTTTTAGTTATTGCTCTATACAGTATGCATTTTTAACTCATAATATATGTTCAAATAATATACTACTTCATGTATAACATACCCTTATAACTATAGACTGCCATTTCCCCCATCCTGTCCTTTAAGCTATTGGCATACATTTAACTTCTACATATTTGATAAATATCAAAAATACATTATTATTTTTTCTTTACACAGTCAAATTAACTTTAAAATTTTTTTAAAGAAGCAAAATGTGGGCCGGCCAAGTGGCATGATGGTTAAGAACTGGCTTGGGACGCCAGAGGGCCCCGGTTCGGATCCCACATATGAGGGCCAGTGACACTGCCCTCTACAGCTAAGATGCTGAACAACAGCTCAACCTGGAGCTGGGCTGCCGTGAGTCGCCGGCAACGGCGTAGGCTGCAGCCCCTGTGGCAGTGGGTTGCCATGGGCTACCGTGTATAGCCAGCAGCCAGCGTGAGCGGCCAGCAGCCGCCGTGAGCGGCCGTCCAGAAGCTGGCGACTGATCTGCCTGACCCGGGAGGAGTGCAATGATGGTGCCAACTTGGGCCAGTGAAGCAACATCCTCCACAACTAGACTGAAGAACAAAAGGATAGCAACTTGTCTATTCCCTTTCCCCGAGTTCCCCAATAAAAATCTTTAAAAAAAAGCAAAATGTTTTCTATTTACCCATGTATTTACCATTTCTGGCATATTGTATTTCAAGTATTCATCTTGTATTACTCTGCTTTGGTTGAAAAATTTCCTTTAACATTTCTTGTAGTATATATCTGCTGGTAACAAATTACTCAAGTTTGGTTTGTCTGATAAAGTTTTTATTTCACTTTTGTTTTTGAAGGACTTTTCACTGGATATAAAATTATAAGTAGACTTTTTTCTTTTAGTATTCTAAAGATGGCATTTCATTGTCTTTTGACTAGCAAAGTTTTTGAGTTAAAATCTGTTATCATTCTTATGTCTGTTTCTCTGTAAGTGATGTTTATTTTTCTCTGACTGCCTTTTTTTTATTGGAACAGTCACACCCATTCACTTATGTATTGCCCATGGCTGCCTACACACTATGAAGGCAGAATTGAGAAGTGTGATGGAGACCATATGACCCACAAGCCAAAACTATTTGCTATCTGTAAATTTAAGGAAAAGGTTCCAACCCCTGTTCTAGAGTATCTTTTACTCCAAGGATAGTTCAAACCTATTACTAAGGTATTATTACTTTAGCAGCGGTTCTCAACCTGTGGGTCGTGACCCCTTTGGGGGTTGAACGACCCTTTCACAGGGGTCACCTAAGACCATCAGAAAACAAAAAGACATTTACATTATGATTCATAACAGTAGCAAAATTACAGTTATAGAGTAGCAACGAAAATAATTTTATGGTTGGGGGTCACCACAACATGAAGAACTGTATTAAGAGGTCGCGGCATTAGGAAGGCTGAGAACCGCTGCTTTAGGGTCTCCACTGAATATTCCAAGGATGAATGGGTCCTCGCCCTTTAAGCTAGTCAGGCCCCAAACATTTTCCCATTTCATGTGGGATTTATTCAGCTTACAACTCACCAGTCTTTTCTGCTCAGCCTCTTGATGTGTCATTCTATATCTGTGTCCTGGAATTCAGCAAAAATATAAGAGATTCCTAGAGATATTTCGGGGGCTCTTTTTCTGCATAACTCCCTCCTTCCCAGAACTCTGCCCCACTACTCCTAGCCACCTTAGCCTCCCCAAACTCTGACCTCCACCTCATTAACTCAGCAAGGTTACCAGGATCTGTTTGGGTCCCCTTCCTGAGTCTACAGTCTAGAAATTGCTCCTAGGCAGAAAGCCAGGGTAATTATTGAACTCATTTTGTTTCTCTTCTCTCAAGGATCACAGTCTTATGCAGACTGTTGTCCAACGTCTAAAAGCCATTGTTTCATATTTTACCCAGCTTTCTAATTATTTATGGTGCGTGGTTAAGTCGGGTCCTTCATGCCTCGAAGGGGAAATCCCCTCCACATATATTTTGATAGGTGGAATTTTCTAGGTAGTGTACACTGGTTCTTCAGACTTTCCAAAGATTTGCTGAATTTGACTGGCTTGTGTGGAGAGAGAATTAAGTGTAAAACCTTTCCTGGTGGGTGTGCCTGAGTAGTTGATGATGTACTATATTATTGCTGATCTGGATTTCTCATGTCCAGGTTCCGACAGGAAGGACAGGCTATGACAGAAAGGACAGAAATTATAAAAGGCTCTGAAAGCAGATTAATCTTGAGCTGTGCATTTCTGAATTCATTTGTGAATTTATATCAGGGGTAGAAGAAACCTATTAGTAGGCCCAGAAACCTATTTGTGCCTCTTTTAAAAGCATGTAAAAAGTGTACAAAGCGATCACCATCCGCTCCAGATGCTATGTTAAGATAAACAGATAAAATTGTCTACCTCCAGGAGTTTATAGCTAAAAGAAAGAACTGATCCAAAATATACATAGGTGATAGATAGATAGATAGATAGATAGATAGATGTTTATATTTCTTTATTAAAGGATGAAACTCCAATTAGTAGGCAAAAAAAAAACTCATTAATTTTCTTTTACTTGATTAGAAAACATTCAGAAAGATAAGGTGAAAAAATTCATTTATTGAACATAGGATGAAAAATTATTGTTTAGACAAAGGTAAGAAAATGACAGAAAGGGCTAGAAAGGGCATAACATTGAAGATGTAAGTAAAAAATATGAGATTCAAGGATCAGATAAAGGGGCAGAAAGTTAAAGCAGTCAACGGAGAAAAAATGAGCGCAGAGAGAAGATGGGAAAGTAAAGGATTCAGGGCACAATAGTGCCAGGTTCATAGGAGATGCTCAATGAAGGATGGATGGATGAATGGATGGATGGATGGTTGGATGGACAGAAGAATATAATAAAAAAGGATAAATGTGATGACAGAGGGTGAGAATTCAATCTTATTACAGACAAAGAAGAAATAATGGAGATAGAGGGAATTGTAGTGATGGGTTTTGTAGCATGGCAATTTGTAACTACTTTAAGTGCAAATATGTTTTCCTAGCTAACTCATGTTTAAGATCTCAGGCCCAAGCTCCTTAAAGAGGTCTTTTCTGACTATTCATGTAAATTAACTCACCTGTTTTTCCTTCTCATGGCTCTCTCTATTTTTTCTTTGTAATACTTATCACAGTTTGTAACAAATATTTTTTGGTGATCATTTGTTTAATATCTGTTCTCCCACTAGATTGTAGGCTCCACGAGGGGAGAACTATGCTTTGATTTACAACTGTGTCCTCGTGGACCAGCACAAAGCCTGGCATATAGTAAGCTCGCAATAATATTTGTTGATTAAATGCACAAATAAGTACATGAATGAATGCGGTTGGCACTTGTGGAAATGCAGGGCTGTGAGGCCTACCCAGCCTTGTGAGGATTAAAGCCTATTTATCCATCCAAGGAGTGGCTGTACTGAAATATAAAATGTCTTGGAATTGGAGTCAGGAAGTGAGTTTAACATTGGCCTCTGCTATTTACTTGTTGTGCTCACAAGGGCAACATAATATATCTAAGCTTTTGTTTTCTGATCTCTTAAATGAGGATAATACACCTCACATGGTTGTTAAGAAGCTTGAATAAAAAAAGTGTTCAGAACTTCTCAAAGGTTTTCTCCCAAGAACCCCTCAGGAAGGAGGGGGGTGTGGTTCACATCGCTTGAACTGGAGGCACACTAAAAACAAAAGCAGCTTCTTTGAAATAGGTTTCATCTTGAAAGTTCATGCAAATGCATTTTATACCATATATTGTTTCAATGTTTAAATTATGTTTTAAATTATTCACTGATAATTTACTTAACATTTTTTTTCCATAAAATAGTTGAATACAACTGATGCTCATAAAAAACGCACCATATTTTCCTTTGGTTTTCCACTTATGAGAAGCAGGGATTTATGTGACATGGCTGCCACAGTACAGTAGGTTCTCCATAATGTTCGCTGACATGGAATCTGTCCACCAGAGGAGCAGCACGGTTGAATCAACAGGCAAAACAAATAACACAAGGGGGATTCCCTCCATCGAGCAGGGTGAGGCGGGCTTGCTCGTCTGGTGAGAGATCAAGGGTATAAGTCAGAAGCAACCTGTAACTTCCTTTGAATCTAGCGAATCAAAAGGAAATTATCATTGCTCTATAAAATGTAGGATTTATATAATAGATAATTATGTGTTCATTATAAATAATTATGGTTATTTATAATAACGCATTATATATAATGTTATTACATAATATAATGTATTGGACTATCTACAGAGAGAAAAAGATGCTTACATCAAAGATTACTCCTATCTTTGGTTTTATTCTTAGAACCTAATATAGATATAAAAAAAACAAAAAACCCTTTTACTCTCCATATTAACAGCCAGAAATGTATTGGTTCGGAATCTGAGTTATCCATAGCTATATCCCCTACACATTTCCATTTCCAATGTTTCAACCCAATGTAAACGTTAAACACAGTACCAGTAAAGAAAACCCCCTGTGAACTAATGTGGTCTGTCCTCAGTATCCTCATTGTAAAAAGGGATACCAATACTTACCTCATGGTCTGGTTACAACATTAAATACAATGATGCCCAGGAGCATGTCTGGTACAGTGCCTGGCACACAGCAACCAGGACCATCCAAGTTCTAGGCTTTATTCATTGCTCTGTCATTAATGCCCACTTGTTATGGGCAGAATTATGCACTGCCAGCCACCCCACCACAAAATTTCTATGTCAAAGTCCTAACCTCCAGTACCTCAGAATATGACCATATTTGGAGATAGGGACTTTACCAAAATACTTAAGTTAAAATGAGGATTAGGGTGAGCATTAATCCAATATGACTGATGTCCTTATAAGAAAAGGAAATTGGGACACAGACAAGCACAGAGAGAAGACAATATAAAGACATAAGGAGGATTGGCCATCTATAAGCCAAGGACAAAAGTCTACAACAGATCTTTAGCTCATGGGCCTCATCAGGAACCAAGTCTGCTGGCCACTTGATCTCAGGCTTGTAGCTTCCAGATCTGTAAGAAAATAAATTTCTGTTGTTTAAGACCCTTAGTCTGTGGCAGTCTTAGGAAACAATGTATCACTAGAATAAAAGCTTCCTCAAGGCAGAGGCTTTTCTTTTTGTTCAGTGATGAACGCTGAAGTATTAGAATAGAGCCTGACACATAGTAAGCACCTAATAAATAAGTGTTCCCCTATCCCAGAAATGTCCAGTCCTGTCCTTGACACAAGTTATTTAGGAAATATTTGAAGACTGAATAAATCATCCTATTTCCTAAATACCAATTGGAACATACTTGTAGTCTGACCAAAAAAAATAGTTATGTAAATGTATTCATATAAGCGTTGTAAAACTTTAAATATTAAATCACACTTAACAAATCAACCTTGATGGAAAAGGGCAAAATGTCATGAAATTCAAGCAGTTCTTAGAATACCTAACTTTGGTAGAGTAAGTTGTCAGTTGTATGACGTCCCCACTCCTTGGCCGAAATTTAAACACTGTATCCCATGGCTCTCATTTGCTTTCCAACCTCATTTGCCCAAGTCCTCCAAGGACCCCTTGACTGAACTCACAGTTGTCTCTGCATCACTTCAGGATACACCAACCATCTAGGCTCAGCTCAAATCCCTCCTCCTACAGGAAGCCTTTTCTGACCCTCTGAAGTCAAAGCGATACCACTCTTGATATGGACTACTTAACATAAATAAATATACATACCACTTACTTTCTCATACCATTCGTTACTTTTCTGTGAAGATCTCTCTCTCATTTCCATTTTAGATTGAAAGGTCTCTGAGGACAGGGACTTTTAAAATTACTTAATTCTACCCACATCTAAGTAGGGGGTTCAGCAAATATTGTAGATTTTTAATGAAGTCATTGGAAAACAGCATAGTCAGCACTCACACCCACCCTCAGCCCTGCCAGTACAAAGAGCCAGAGGAGGTACTGGCAAACCTAGTCTCTTTAAAAATGTGGGCACAAGTCCTATTAAGAGTGGGTAATAGAGAGTTGCAATTAGCAGAGTTAGCAGTGGAGCTGTGACGCCCAAAAACATCACCATTAACATCAGTCTACTAAGCATACATCATGCCTTATTTTTAAATAATACCTATTTGATTAATACTGGAAGCTTCCTTTCCAAGGATCCTTACTTTCTTTCCTCAGGTTGTTTTTTTTGATCAAATAGCCATTTACTTCAGATAACCAAATCAGCAGCAGGATTCAGAAATACATTTGATCTCTGCCTCCTTGGGCTTTGGCAAAAAGCTCTAGAGTGTGTTTATGCAATCATAGATTAAAACAAAAAAGTACAGAATTAATTACCTTTTTTTTCTTTTCTGTCTTTTTTTTTTTTTTTACCGTCAGTGGTTTTTCTAATTCCCTTGATATAAAACGTGAGCCATTATAAGGAAAAGTCTTTTCTCTTGATTTAATGCAAAACCTTCAGGGAAAATGAATATATTTCTCAATTTGCTTTCTGACCACTTGATCTTGTCTTCATATGACCTTTAAAAAATCCTAGTGTAATGTTTCTTTTCATTTAATTGGGTCCAAGCAATATGATAAAGATAATTAGAGGAGGGTCCTAACCTCATACATAAGCAAAGATGTCACCGTCTTTGACTATTTTAGTAAGCAGTCTCATTTAATCTCCAGTCTAACATTCTCTCCATTTAAATGTGGTGTAAGAGGACATTTTGAATGGAACTTTAAATTATATTTTAAATATAATAATTATAATATTTTTCTTGGGAAATTAGGCTCTACTAACACTATTTTGAGCAAAGTTTCTATTTTCAGGACTATAACTCAGAGATGCTAAAGCAAGTAAGTGATAAGCAATAAGATATAAAATATAAAAATACAAATGAATACGATATGAATCAGAGTATAGGCATCCTTTTATAGGTAAATAAAATCAAATGAAAAAAAAGTCATTTATATGGTCAAGGAAATTAGTCATTGGGATAATATAGAACTGTCTATTAAGTATAAAGAGTTATATCAGGAATTATAAAAAGATAAAGCTCTTACCCTAATTAGCTTATAAACAACTAGTAGAGTTCAATCTAACTGGAAATATAAACCACATAGGGGGCTGAGAGGGGAGGTAATTCTGGTGTATAAAAACAATTTTTTAAAAATTTTGGAAGATTTCTTTTTAAATTCAAAACAATTTGAGTTATACACATTTGTTTAAAAAAACAATGATATAGGAAAAGGTTTTCTTTAAACTAAACTAAACAGAGTTTGCCTTCCTTCCCTAGTTTCCAAAGACTGAAATAGAAAGAGTGTTGTCTGGAATTGAAATAACATAATCAACAGTGTTATTAGGGAGGGCATCTGACACAGTGATCACTGTGTGTGAAATTAGACAATGCATCTTTGTCAGGTCATCGGTACAAAATGATCTAGATTAAATTAACTGAGATTTTTTTTTTTAAGATTTTATTGGGGAACAGCGTTGGGGAATCGGGGAAGGGGAACAGACAAGTTGCTGTCCTTTTGTTCTTCAGTCTAGTTGTGGAGGATGTCGCTTCACTGGTCTATGTTGGTATTATCATTGCACTCTTCCCGGGTGTGGCAGTCACTTGCCAGCTATTGAACAGCCACTCACAGCACTCACAGCGCTCACGGCAGCTCACGAAAGCTCATGCCTACTTCCAGCCAGCCCCATTGCAGCCTGCGCCATCGCCAGCGACTCACAGCAGCCCAGCTCCAGGTTGAGCTGTTGATCACCATCTTAGCTGTAGAGGGTGCAGCATCACTGGCCCATGTGGGACCCGAACCGGTGGCCCTGCTGCTTAGAGTTGGCATCCCAAGCCAACTCTTAACCAATGAGCACTTGGCCGGCCCCGAAAATTTTTTTTTAAAGGCTCTAAATGTACTTTTGCTTCAAGTACAGAAGAAAGGAAACTATATTAAGGAATGTGACCAATTATGTCATCCAAATAGCACTGCTCATTGGCTAGCACTGCCATGTAATCAAAAGGGCATGGTGCCAAGGGCCGCACTTTGGAAAGGTATTTCCAAATCCAACAGAACAGGGAACGCCTCGAGATATTTGATATTTGGTGAGGGAAAGCAAACTAAGATTCTACCCAGTGTCTCTCCTAGGACATGGTAATCAGTCTTCATCAAGGCCTTTCCTGTCTCCTCCTGAACCTTGGGAACTTCTGTAAGATGCCCCAGCACCTACATTCTCAGCACCAAGTGAAAGTGAATTACATTTGAAAATTTTGCCAAATAAACATATGGAAAAGGAGAGAAACTTGTGTGAATCTGGGGAAAATCTTCACTTTTCAGACTTCCACGAAGTGTTAAGAGAAATGAGTTTAGGATTCCACCATCATCAATGTCTGCTTCTTTTTGAATCTTCATTTTTCTTATCTTCAGCACCGAAAAGGAAACTGATTAGATAAATTACTGCGGTGCAAACGTTGTGTATTCGATGAGCTCTGAAAGTGTTTCCCTCCTTTTTTTAAGAAAATAAATACTGTGACTACTAGGCAGAATTGCATATGCAGTGATACTAATGACTTATTTTACTATGGCACTCTAAAATTTTTTTAAATATTTCTCATAAACCTGTAAAACGTTAAGAGGTGCTAGATTCCATAATGTTTAATAACACATCCATTTGCAACAATAATGAACAAAATTGAAATATAAGTCGAAATAGTTCACATAAAATTATTGATGCGAACATAAACACAGTATACATTGTAGATTTTGTTCTATCATAACACAGTAACATTAAATAGGCAAAAATCACCAAAAAAGTCCCGTATATAGTCCAGAGTTACCCATATTTCCTTTCATCCCTTTCTGGAAATACAATGTCTTCAAGAAAAGGGAAGGGGGATGGGTGGGACAAACATTGGAATATACACCGAGACATAATTTAGAGATATTCACAACAGAAGAAAGCACAAATCAATAAAGAAAACATTGAATATATGACATGCCTTCTTTGGTGTGAGAACACTTATAAAAACAGAAATTTAAAATTATCTAACTAAGGAAAGAAAAACA